ATAAAGGTGACACTTTTCTTCAATAGCTGTTTTCCATATTTTTTTGGAAGCAGGATATCATTCTTCATGTGATGTGATTGTGTAGAATCCACTGCTAGCCATAATGCAGCCATACAAAAGTCATCTGTAATGTACAGAGCACAAAATCATGCTAAGTCATTCACCTGATTTTGCTTAATGGATGCTTTATGTAGTCAGCAAAGGTTGTGTTAAATGGACTGAGAATTTTTGTTAATAGATTAGCCCTTTATAATAAAATGATAGTTTTGAGTCTTAGAAGTGAAATGTATTCTTTTGTAAGCAGGAGGAGCTTGAGGAGCGAATAGGGTTGGTTTGGTTTGGTTTTGGCTTCCTTTAGTACTATAGGACAAGAATGTTTTACATACAACACGGAGACAATTTATTTCCTGCAGGACTTCTGCCATACATATATAGCAATATTTAGATTAATTCTTTGCAAGGAATTTACAAGAATTATCCTGTTGTAGAGCTAGGAAAAGTAAGGTTGGTCTGATCTTAGCTAGTTTTTTGAAACAGTCTGGCTGAATTCTTAAAAGTAATATTTTGTAGCATAAGAAATTTATTTGACCAGTGACAGAAGAGTGGCATCTGTTGAGTCCTCAGATTAGAGAGAGCTCCAGAACTTGGTGCTTATTTTCTTAAAGGCTGGAGGCTTAAGTTCTCCCTGCATGGCTTTTTTTTTTTTCCCTGACATAACCTCTGCTGACAAAACCTAAATGACAGAGTAGTCTGCAGGTTGCACTGAATCCAAGTTCTTCCTCCCTTCCTGGCCACCAAATTAAGCTCCCTGAATCTCTGTAGATTTGGCAGTCTTGGTGTGCTCAAAAATGTCTTTAAGCTAGCATTGAACTTCAAGATTCAATTTTCAACCAAGTGTGTCCAAGCCATGCTCATTTCTTCCTACTTTCAAGACACAACATGTTTAATAACTCTAATTTACTTCTCAAACTTGTTGGATCTGATCCTTTCCCCACATTAGGGTAGCACCGGGGTGACTTCATGGGAGGGCTTCCAGGCTTGCCTGGGTGAATTTAAGCTGCTCTTAAAGCCAGCATAGACCCCGGCTGCTTTTCCAGCAAGCAGGAACATCCAGACCGTGGAGGATACTAACAAGACAAATGCCGATTAAGCGTCCCCAGCTTCTCCATCTGCAGACACAGAGCTGGATCTGGCAAAGCTCTTTCCTCGCTGAGGTTACCCTTGTAACACTTGCAGATAAATTACCAAGACTATCACTTTGTTCTATCATTGTCCAGCCTGTGCAATGCTGTCATTAGTCTGGATTAAAGCTGTGTATATATAGGAAGGACACGTGCTTTTAATCCTTTTATCCACAGCCTGCCTTCCTATTGCCTGTAGCTTCCTAGCCGTACACTTTTCTCGAGTATATGACCAGCAAGACCTTGCGAGACAGATTCAACCTGCTTTATTTACAGCCTTCAAATTTTGGTTCATTGTTGAGTTTGTCCAAATATTGATCATGTAACCGAAGTCTGAAAAACCTAACAAATACAGTTTGTTTTTCCCTGACTCAGCTATACATCACCCCCTTTCCCCCATCCTCTCCAGCATTCTTGGCGCTGGGAGCTCCAGCATCCACATCAAAATCTGTGTGTGGTTTTGCCAAGTGCTTTCTTTAATAGCACTGGGGTGGAGGTAGGACAACTTAAAGACAGCAAGAAAACTGTCTTAATAAGTCTTTTCACGTAGTAAACACTAAAGCATAAAGTCAAATAGAAAGCCTTATGCTGATGAAGTTTATTTATGTCTGTCCTCGGTTTCACACAGAGCCTCCTGCGCACTGAGAATTTCTTCGCCGCGGCTGCGCAGGAGGGCGGGCGGCGGCGCGGTGACCCCGCGTTGTCCTTGCGGCAGTGGGAGCCGGTCCCGCTCCCGGGACGGACGCGGTGCTTGC